CTTCTTCTTCTTCTTCTTCTTCTTCTTCTTCTTCTTCTTCTTCTTCTCCTCCTCCTCCTCCTCCTCCTCCTCCTCCTCCTCCTCCTCCTCCTCCTCTTCCTTCTGCTTCTTCTGCTTTTCCTCCTCCTCTCCCCTTCCTCCTCCTTTCCTATTAAAATGTAAACTGTCTGCTGTAATTCTGGAGTTGGGGTATCTACATTGAAATGATAATAAAAGCATCATTACCAATTTTTATATTGTTCCATCAAGGGATATAGAAATGTGCTGTCTTCCAACAACAACAACAACAAACAAGATTAACTCAAGGGAGCTATTACAGGTGGGAAACATGATATGAAAAGGCATTAATTCTTTCTTAAACAAGCAATATCATGCCAAAAATTTCCAAACTCACGTGTAAATTCTTTGTACATAGGAACAATGTTGCTAGTAATTAGAGCATCGTACTGCCCAGGGCCAGATGAACTGAAGTCTGTGTGAAAAAAGTATGGATTAATGACATGCATAGTGTGGAGGGGAGGGGAATCAAAAGAACATAACAGCTTTCTTTCAGCTGAATATTATATTAATTTCAATGTTGAGGAATTTACTTCTGTACCATTTAAATGCTTTCTGCACTCCATTCAAACAAGAAGACACAACACAATAGAACAAGGATCTTAAAACTTACAGCTTTAAGACTTGTGGACTTCAACTCCCAGAATTTCTCCTCCAGTCATGTTAGCTCAGGAATTCTGGGAATTGAAGTCCACAAGTCTTAAACTTGCCATGTTTGAAGACCCTTGCAATAGAAAGACATTGACTGCAACAAAAATTGCAGAGACATTTTTTTATGTTTCAGAGTCCCAGCCTGACAAATAGTACTAAGAGATTCTGTTCTCTGCTTTTTTTCTTTCTTCTAAATTCATCTGCTTGTTCTAGTTTTTAGCCATTTATGTATAATATATGTTACCTATTTTCCTTCTTAAACACGGCTCTCTTGATTTTCAAAACATTAATATTCAATGCATATTATTAATTGCATTATGGAATCTATCCAAAATTTGCTGCAAATAATTCAGGTTCTCTTGCCATCAACTGCACACAAATATGTATACACTTTTATAACCTCCCCAAAACTTCTCTCTAACATCATCACAAGCATTCTGTATAATTTATCCATAAATAAACAATTGAACACATCATATGTCCTTGTGTTGCTTCCTGCCCAACTCTGAATAATTTTCTAAGCATTCCATTTGTTCATACATTCAATTTATATGGCCATGCAGTATTTCTTTCATGTACTATTCTTATCATTCTAAGCAACCACATTTCAACTCCACGTACATGCATACATTCTGTACTTCAATTCAACTAAATCAAGAAAGGAAAAAATTCTCACATTAATTATGAACTACTGAAGAGCAGAAATCTGATCTGTACATTCCGTGCTTGACTTAAAATGCACGGCACTCTCTTATTTTTGCTTATTGTCCCTTTTAATGAATTTGGCCAACATCTTCCCAAGAAAACTTAACAAAGTAATCTCCCCTGTAAAGTTTTCGTCCATTTTAACCAACTTTGCCTTTGGAGAAAGGGACAATAGTAATGGTATTCTGATCTCCCAATCATCAGGCACTACAGCAACACTCAAAAACACAACATTCTAAATAAAAGTGCTACTTGAAAATCCCCTTCTGTTTTGTTTAGTAAGGTTTTTTTTAAAACTTCATTTAATTCAGATTGTGACAGAATGGAATGTAGGAAGAATGGCACAGAGGTAATTGTTTTAAAAGCCCAATATTCAGATCTACTCCATTTTTCTGCAATGCTGTGTTTGGCAGACAGCCTTCCTACTAGTTGGTAACAAGCTGAAGAAGAAAGACAGTAAAACCTGGAGGAATCAGTAAATTGTTTTTTTAGCAGGTGCTGCATATACGTCATTGGGACAGTATTATTGCATGGTGACTCAGAACAGACACAACATGGGCTGGATAGGGATTGGCAATAGTATAGTTTCCTGTTCACTTAAGAATGGGTGGAGAAAGGAAGCGGGCAGTGTGTGGTCTGTTGTGAGGTTTGAGTACTTGTCAAAAGAAGTGAAAACGTGTGTAAAAGAGTGTGTTTTGCCCACTTCTATGGAAGTGAGTATTGGGTACAGTATGTATGCAGGGGTGGGATTCTACCAGTTCGCACCTATTTGCTAGAACCAGTTGTTAACATTCTAAGCAGTTCAGAGAACCAGTTGTTAGCAGAAATTACTGGCCTAATCCTGTAAGGAAGGCAGGAAGGAAACATTCTGGTGTTGCTTACAGAAACTGCCTCTCCGTTAACCCTTATTACATTCTTGGCAGGACTAGACCTCCTGTCTCAGGAATATCTCTGGAGTTTTTTTCCCCTCCTTTGCTGGTACTTTGCTTGTGTGGAGTGACCATTCAAAGTTACAATGGCACTGAAAAAAGTGACTTATGACCGTTTTTCACACTTACGACTGTTGCAGCATCCCCACAGTCATGAGAGGCCAGACGAGGAGATGTGTGCCTCCATGTGAGTGATATTGAGTTGGCCACACCCAGCCAATAACATGACCACCAAGCCATGCCCACCACCTAAGCCACGCCCACAAAACCAGTTGTTAAAAATTTGAATCCCACCCCCTGTATGTATGCCAGATCAAGTCATTAAACAGCATAAAAGTAAGTTGAATGCAATGAAGATCAATTACTTAAGCAGTGTATGTAGCTCAACAGGAAGAGAGAGAATGAATGTGGGCTGAATATAAAACAGAGTACAAAAGAAGTGCGTTGAGATGGTCATTTAGTGAGTGTGAAAGAAGAAAGAAATGAAGAGATTGTAAGGGGAGGAGGAGGAGGAGGAGGAGGAGGAGGAGGAGGAGAAAAATATATAGGCACTGCAAAAATTAGGATAGTTGTAAGGCTAGAAAGGTATGGAAAGGTATAGTGAATGGTAAGCTAGATTTGGCTACAATTATTTAGCTTTTTCTTATTTTATGACTTATATCTTTTAAATTTTTATCTTTTACACCTTTGCTGCAGTTTGCGAGACAGAAAGGAAATAGCATAATGGATATCTATATATACACATATGTATAAAAATGATGGGAAAATAGTGAAAAAAGATGGAAATCTTAGTGGCATCTTAGAGTTTTCCATGAAGAAAGCCTGTGCTGGGTGGACTGGTTATTCATATCCAAGTAGATTTGCCTTAGTCTCTCAACATATTCACAGCAAATCTGGGAAGGCTGGAGTATGTGCTTCGGATTACAAAAGTAGGCACCATCCATGATGCCACATAATACATTTCTTGGAACTCTTGCCAGAAATTCCCTCCACTTGTTGAGAATTCACTAGATTGGAAGATGCCAACACACTTCTAAGATGAAAGATATGACCTTCAGTTGATTACGGGTATATGGTAAAGATTCTGATGGAAAATCTAAGTCGCTGCTGGAGTTAGGGCTTTGGGGAATAAATTAAGACCCAGTCAAGAGAATGAAAAGTGGCTTCGTATGTATTAAAACCGATTCTGAAAAATGGATAAGCATAAGGGTAAGCATAAGAGTATGAAGTTCAGAATCTAAAATGCATAACTGCAGGACAGGGCAAAGGGAATTGAAAAGATAAGGTGCTACCCTCCTAATTTATTTATTTTTATTTATTAAATTTGTTTTGATATCCATCTTGCTGCAAGGGAACTCTGGGCAGCTTACAAAACACCCCTCTCTCTCTCTATCTCTCTCTCTCTATCTCTCTCTCTATCTCTCTCTCTCTCTCTCTCTCTCTATCTCTATCTCTATCTCTCATCTCTCTATTTATCTCTATCTCTTTATCTATCTATCAATAAAATCAATCTATATTGATTTTGTAAGCTTTCAAGTTCCTCAACTTACAACCATTCATTTAGTGATCATTTGAAGATACAGTGGCACCCAAAAAGTGATTTATGACTGGTTTTTCACAGTCTTACGTGACTGAGTTGTTGCAGCAACCCCATGGTCACATGAGCAAAATGTAGGCACTTGGCAACTGGCATGTGTTTATGACATTTGTATGGTCCCGGGGGGTCATGTGATCACCATTTATAACCTTCCCAGCCAGCCACCAACAATCAAAGTCAATGTGGGGAGCATGGTTCACTAACAATTGCAGTGATTCGCTTAACAGCTGTGGGGGGAAAGGTCATAAAATGGAGCAAAACTCACTTAGGAACTGCCCTGCTTAGCAAGAGAAACTTTGGGCTCAGTTATGGTCATACATCAAGGGACTACCTGTTTGCACTTTTTGCTGCTGTTTATATTTCTGGTTTATTTTATAAGCCGATCTTTCTCGCGGCCTCCTTCCAGTTTTACTCCCTTTAAATGCAAACCTGTGGAATCAAATATTTAGAACTGCAACTCCCATGGCCCTGCAGTCTTGTGCCTGCAAAATGCAGTGGTTCTACTTATGTTCTTCCTACAGGCAAGAGACACCCCCAGAATGTTTTCGTTTTTATTGTCTCCCCCACCCTCCCCCTCCTCCTGAATGCCACGCTTATCCCGCGGTTAGTGCTGTGTCTATGTTTAAACGCTCAGCCACATCCAGATAATTAAAACATTGTGTGCTTCTTTCTATATAAAGAACAGTTCTACTAACCGGGAGGATAGAGGAAGCCGGGGGTGATAGTCAGGTCTGGCTGGTAGTTGGAGCAAGTTTGACTCTGAGCTGCGGGGATTCGAACATCTAGCCGCAGACAGTCTGAAACACTGGGAGGGACAGAAGTTGGCTTAACCAGCTGGAAGAGAAGAAGGCAAAAAAAAAAGCATTACACCCACAGCTGGTGGCTAACCTTAGGTTTTGAGACTTCCTAGCCTGGTTTCCTTTGATTTTTCCCCCCCATTTTTATAATGAATCATGGCAGTGCTGTAAATAGAAATGGCCTTCCTGCCCTTTGCTCTCAGATATATCCAATCGGTTTATTTCTTATTCTTCAGCATTCCCTAGTACACAGGTGGAAAAAGCAGGGGGAGAAAATTACTCACAGCTCTGTCCTGAACCCAACAACACCCAAGGGATTGCATTTGAGATCACTAATACCTTGGCCAAGCCATATTTCCTTAACTCTGTGGTTTTCTCAGAAGCAAAACACTATACTAATCAAAATCAAATTGTGAGCCATTGGAGAGAGAATACTCATGCTTGGAAAGAGATGCATGCACTGTATTGCCAATGGTGAATCATGGTGAATATGCACAAGAAGTGCAGGTGAACAGAGAGTATGTGCCAAAGCAAGACACCATCTGCTCTGGAGTGGGAGAAAGTTTATGACGCAGCTAGTAAAGGTAAAGTTCCCCTCGCACATACGTGCTAGTTGTTTCCGGCTCTAGGGGGTCATCTCCATTACAAAGCCGAAGAGCCAGCACTGTCCAAAGACATCTCCATGGTCATGTGGCCGGCATGATTAAATGCTGAAGGCTCATGGAACGCTGTTACCTCCCAACTGAGGTAGTCCCTATTTTTCTACTTAAATTTTTACATGCTTTCGAACTGCTAGGTTGGCAGAAGCTGGGACAAGTAACAGGAGCTCACTCCATTACGTGGTGCTAGGGATTCGAACCGCCGACCTGCTGACCTTTCTGATCGACAAGCTCAGCGTCTTAGCCACTGAGCCACCGCATCCCATATGACGCAGCTAAATGAATGCAACAATCACACTGCTGGCTTTCATTGGGCTGTATTAGCCACTCATCCAAAGACAACCTTGATCTCTGCCTACAGAAGCACCACCATACACAGCTATACAGGTAGCCCTCAACCTATGACCACAATTGAGCCCAACATGTCTGTTGCTAAGTGAAACATTTGTTAAGTGAGTTTTGCCTCATTTTACAAACGTCCTCGCTGCAGTTGTTATGTGAATCACTGCAGTTGTTAAGGTAGTCACGTGTTTGTTAAGCAAATCTGGCTTCCCCGTTGAGTTTACTGTGATCACATGACACACATACACAAAAACACACATTGACACTGCAGCCATCATAAACCTGAGTTAGTTGCCAAACATCTGAATTTTGATCACGTGACCCTGGGGATGTTGCAATGGTTGTAAGTGTGAAAAATAGTCATAATTCACTTTTTTCAGTGCCATTATAACGCTGAACGGTCACTAAATGAACAGTGGCAAGTTGAGGACTACCTGCATTTATACACAGCAGCTACCCAGAAATCGTTTACTGTATTCTCATCCATACCAAAGTAGTCATAGCTGTCAGGATTCTGGCAGTTACTCCAATTAAATCATGAACCTTGAGCCACACTCCCAAAACTTCTAATAAATCCCAAAAGGATTTATTAGAAGTTAACATGTCAGAATTTGCCTGGGCGTAGCCGACTCTGAGATACGTAATTCACTGTCACCCTTGATCCTGCTTTTCCCCCCACCCGTCTGGTGTATTATCCAATGAAACACGTCCATAGCCAAGAGTCATCAATCATGCTCTCCAATTAGATTTTTGCCCGGCAGAAGCTTCAGTCATCTAATCAGTCTCTGAAGAAAATATGAATGGAATGTATTTTCAATTCCACACTGCTGCCTGCTCTTTGAAACTCCCCCCCCCCCCGCTTCTTTCTCTTGACAACTATCAAATGTGTATACAAAGTGTTTTATGAGTTGACAATAGCAATGTCTCATTTCTAGTATTTTGCTCCATTGGCTGGGACTCTACAATGTGCCTGGCTCGTGTATATTTTAGCATATGCAGTTTGTAATGGTGCATTGTATAAACCAAACAAATCATGAGTTATCCAAAAAAATATGGTTAGGCAACACATGGCATGGTAACATGTAGACATAGGCATTGTCATTCTTATTGTTGGATACATTTTAATATTCTTGCTGTTCACTATTGCATCTGAACACATATAAATACAGTTTGTCTATTCAGTTTAGTCTGGGTTTTGTCCTGATATCACTTTATCTTTTTTAAAAAAAAAACACCGTAAAACAATTGAAAATATTTTAGTTAATTGTATTACATGTAAATAGTGCCTCGGATATTGATATACGATAAAGTAATGGTATGAAGAAAAAGCAATTTTGCTTCAACCGGCAGCCAAGAAGTTCTCAGGAGTAAATGAAAGAATATAGAATAAGCCCCAAGCTACAATATTTTACTGTACAGGTGTTCTTGACGCAAAGTCCTTATGATTCAAAGGAATTTTTTTCAATAAACACAAGCAACAGCTTCAGTGATATGGGAATGTTGCTATTTTGTGGTTCTCTTTTCTCTTGACCTTGCTCTGTCTGCACAAGCAGCAGCCAATTATGGGCTGAAGAGGTTTGCAAAGGCGGTCCTGGCATGCACACAAACACACACACACACACACACACACAACTCATCTTTTCTAAGATTTGGCTCAACCTGGACAGAAGGTTGGGCTTAGAGGAACAGGACAGTTACTGTCTCTGGTAAAAAGAACCTGCTTCGAAAGGGAACTAGTAATCTATGCACCAAGAGGCATAATTTATTTGTATTTTGTGGGACTTTAAGTACAGTATTTGGAAACAGCTACTCTGACCTCCTGGTCATCTTTCAGCCACTTTTTCTAAAAGTATCACAGGATGTAAATAATAAGTCATAAAATGGAAACAGTCAGCAAACTCCTTGAACCAGAGAGAGATATCCTGTTGATCTGGCTTCCTCGTTTTTATACACAATCAATTTTATTGCCGTTTTAGAAGTTTTTCTACATCTTATAAGGCTAGTGACATTTATTTCTACACATGATTTAGCCATCCTGCAGTGGAAAGACTGAATATGAGATTTTGTTTTGTTTTGTCCCCCTTCTGATTCAAAACAGACAATTCAGGAGAGCAAATGGCAGCAAATGAACTGAAATCAACAAATGAAGATGCACCTAAGATACATTCCTGTTTTTGTTTTATTTTGCTAATGGCAAAGATTAATATAAAATTGCTTCAGAATGGAGAAAAGGGGGTAAATTTATTTCTGGAATGCTGCAAGTGAATCAAAGAGAGGGGAAAGGTTGAGGATTTTTCTTCCCCAAAACCACTTCTCTGTCTCACAAAGTGAACTTTCATTTTTCTCTTTTAAAAAAAAGTGCATGAGATTCATTCTAAAATCTTTGTGTAAAGTCCACTTAGTCCTTTAATGTGATGAATGTTAGGATAACTTAGAAATTTTGCTAAACATGGAATTACCAGCATAAATATTATTTTTAACTTTGAGTGGGAAAAGTTTGTCTTTCTGAGTGCGTGCCTGTGTATGTCTGTTAGAGGGTGGAAATGAAGAAGAAAATATTTGTGTGTTTCTGTGTGGGAGAGGTTTATGGTTTGGTACAACCAAATCCTTCCCTTCCTAAAAATGAATGTTTTTCTCCCAGAGACAAAAATGTTTGTGTTTAAATCACGATCAGGAAAACTGGGGAGCGTCCCTGCTGAAAAGCCTCTGGCTTATAACGTGCTGAAGGCTGACTTTTATCTTTTCTGGGACCAGTTCAGATTATTACTGGCACTATTTAATCAAATGTCATATCAGGTCATTAGACATTTTTTAACCCTTGTGAATAAGAGAGAGGGAGAGACAGATTTTGGTACTTTTTTAAGACACACAAAACAGCCAGGTGATTTTGGTACCAGTCATACTCTCTTAACCTAGATTGGGAAATTGAAAATACCCAGCTACCTATCCATACTGGACAGCATTTTAAATTGTATTTTTTAACAGTCATTGAAAAGGCTTATATGCTACAGTGGATTTGATTTAGGTTTATAATAATAATAATGATTATATTATATACTAGCTGGATACCTATGTGATCGGGCTTAGTTTTTGGAAGGAAAATAAGGGGGGGGGGGAATTCTGCCTCTGCCTACCAGCATCCATCGGTTTTCATCTGGTTAGCGTCTTGTCAGTGTGTGAGAGAGTTGAGGGCTGTTCGGAAACTCAAACAGTATTTGCTATGTGAGCAGGAAAGAGACAGCAAGGTGCCTGGGCGTGGCTTAGCTCAAGCTTTTTCTGTTCTAAAGCTGCTTGGTGCTGTGAAACTAAAACTGAAACTGAAACTCCTCTCCTCTGCTTGTGTTTTGCATTTGGAACAGATTTCTTTTCAGGTGGGGAGGGGGAGTAGAACTCCTTAGCATCAGAGCGTGTTAATAATAATATACAAAATACTAATGCTCTGATGGTCATTTTGAAAAATCCTTTCTTAGACTCCTAAAAGCCAAGAGGAACAAATTTCAAGTTTGTAGGCTTTACAGTTCTGGAGATTTTGTGATGATTTTGTGATGATGCTTGAGTGGTATTTTGCTTTTATATATATAGATTAATTAAAAGGTGCCATCAGTTTTGAGACTCAGAAAAGCTACATATATCTCTTCGATCAAAGCATCCAAAAATAATAAGTAAAACTAATTAAACAAAACAAAAGAATGCAAATATATTAACTTTTAACACTGTCTATATGTGGACCTATACACTGTACATGTAATATATATCAACACCAGATTAATTCATAATGTCCAGGAAAATGAAACCTTGATCCAACCTTAGCATGAAAGATCCAACCTTAGCATGGAATATATATTACATGTCAATAAGGCCATTGTTTTCTGAAGCGGAAGAAGCAATCTCTTGATTCAGACCAAGGATTCAGGATTCAGATTAGCCTCTTTTAACATCTGGGAATAATATTAATTTCAGATCCAGCTATCTGACGGGCACCAGGTTGGGGAAGATAATCTAAAGCATTTCCTCCAGCTACCTGGAGAAGATACAGTAGCTCAGAGATGGCAAAAGCTGTGCATACAGATTAAATAACTATATCTCCAATCCGGGCTAGAAAAATCTCTCCTCCAACTCAACTTGGGGATCTCATTGCCAGTTGATGTAGGCAGTGGGGAGGCTAGCCAGTCACATTCAACGTAGCATTTTCTGTGAATTCAGTCCCTGTGATTAATGCCAAGCCCACAGAGAAAAGATTTTCCCAGTTCCATCAAGAAGTGCTTAGAATTTCAAGGCATCTTCCCAATCTTGCCCACTCAGTTTGGGTGAAATGCCTACACTGAGAAACTTCCGTTCTCCACCCCTTATCCCAACACAATCCAAAAAACTGGGGGAAAAAACTCATCTCTGCAAACTTTACCCATGCTCATCTGTCTTAATGACATTCACAGATGGATTTTCTTACAAGGTTTGGTACACTGCACAGACAACATAGAAGTGGTACAGCACAGAAGAGGGCAGAAAAACATAATGACAGAGAAAGCATGCCCCTCTGCCTTGAATGCCAAAATAATTACACACAGAAGAGAAACCTGTTTTTCTTTTCTTTTCTTTATCATAACTCCATTGCTTTTGACTGCCAAACCAGTGAATGGTTTTTTAAAAAAAGAATGGCTAACTACAGCAGTAGAATTGCTGCAGCAAAAATAGCAAGCTACACTCCTGAATGTCTGCCCTACTCAAACTGTTTTCTTTTAACTCCAAAGTACTTGAAGAGAATATGCAAATAAGCAATCTTTAAACATCAGTATGCCATTTTGGGACTATTTGCAGTATCATTCGGTGAATGAATGCTGTATTTGTATACGTTGTATTTTTCCATTCAGTAATATACTGCAGGCTATGATTACCTTGGCAGCCTATGCTGTGGAACGAGGTGCTCAAGATGAAGCTTTGAAAACGAGTGGAAGACAGAAAAAATACAGTTTTAGATTAGTTAAAGGCTCAGTAAACTCAAGATTGCATTGAGAAGGCCCAGAAAGAAAACTATTGAGCAGTTCAAGAGAAAATAAAGTTTGACAAGTTACGTGCAACCTGTTGGAAACTGGTAGGGAGAAATTGGTTTGTAGCGAAAAGAATCGGACCTCAAAGCTGGGAAATTTCTGTTTGAAAGAAGAATGTTGGAAAAAGACCTGAAGGTTCGATCCTCTGTGGCAGGAAGATGGCAGGACCCTGTCACATATTTTTTTTTTTAGTTTAATTTAATGTAAATGTAGCATATTTAATACCGTGTTTCTCCTAAAATAAGGCCGGGTCTTATTTTTTTTTGAGCCCCGAAAAAATGGCTAGGATGTCTTTTCGAGGGTGACTTAATTTCTTCCCCCATGCACACCTAGAGTGCCCCATGCACACTCACCTCTCCATGAGGCTGCCACTGGAAGTTCCCCAAAGGTAGAGTCACCAGCCGCTTCTATCGGCCGGTAGAAGCAGCCTCGGGGCAAGCACCCATGCGCACTCACCTCGCCACGAAGCTGTTTCGATCAGCCGATGGAAGCTCCCCAAAGGCAGAGTCACCAGCCGCTTTGGGGTGAGGCGTGGCTGCCCACAGGGCGCTCCTGAGAGGAGTGCCCCACGCACACTCTCCTTGAGGCCGTTTCTATCGGCCGATGGAAGCTCCCAAGAGGCAGAGTCACCAGCCGCTTCCATCGGCCAATAGAAACGGCTTCATGGCGAGGGGAGTGCGCATGGGAGAGTGGCTACAAACTTTTCTTAGCAGAAGGGGAGCAAGCTGAGTTTCTCTCTCTCTCTCTCTCTCTTTCTCTCTCTCTCTCTCTCTCTCTCTCTCTCTCTCTCTCTCACACACACACACACACACACACACACACACACACAAACACCACCCCTACTAGCCCTTGTCCCTGCACCGGGTCAGCCAAGCCCTTCTGGCGAGGGAAGGTCTCAGCATCTGCGGGGTTCCCACTGCCGCCCTCCCCTCCCCAGGCCAGACCTTTTCCGGGCACCCTGCCATAGTCCCAGGGCAGCCGACCTCCCTTTACCTGCTGCCGCCGCTGGTTTGGGGAGCGAGGGGCCGCCAGGGAGGGAAGAGGAGGCAGTAGAGCTCGGCTACCCTTAGAAGGGAGATCAGGCGGGCTCCTGCCTTTGGGGAGCTTCCATTGGCTGATAGAAACAGCTTCATGGCGAGGTGAGTGCGCGTGGGTGCTTGCCCCGAGGCTGCTTCTACCAGCCGATAGAAGCGGCTGGTGACTCTACTGTTGGGGAACTTCCAGTGGCAGCCTCATGCAGAGGTGAGTGCGCATGGGGCATTCTAGGTGGAGGTGTGCGTGGGGGAAGAAATTAAGTCACCCCCGAAAAGATGTCCTAGCCATTTTTGGGGGGCTCAAAAAAAAAAAAAAAAGACCCGGCCTTATTTTATGAGAAACACGGTACATTTTCAATACCAGATATGCTACAAATTCTGCATTTGAAACTGTGTTCACATAAAGAAATATAAATTATTAGTACCACTAGAGTAAAAATGTAATTTAATGGGGAAAAAGACTGTTTATAAAACTTTGTAACTGTGGACTGTATATTCTCAGGCAATTTGCTATGGGAACCTGGATAAAGAGAATTTACTGCCAAAAGGAAGCATTGCAACAATCAGTAAAGAAGATGCTATTGTATAAAAACCTAAAATATAACCTAAAAAACATAAAACCTCTCCAAACTTGGCTTGTATCATTCCACCACTTTGACATTCTCCCTTTTCAGCATAAGCCATCATTCATTTCTGGCCCCCTGCTCTGGGATAGAAAAATCTAAAGTTTGTTAGAAAATGGAATGGAATAGCATAGCATAGCATAGCATAGCATAGCATAGCATAGCATAGCATAGCATAGCATAG